AATGTGGTACATTTACACAATGGAGTACTACTCAGTGGAAAAAAAAAAAAAAACAATGGAATCTTGAAATTTGCAGGAAAATGGATGGAGCTAGAAGAAACCATCCTGAGTGAGGTAACCCAGTCACAAAATGACAAACATGGTATGTACTCACTCATATGTGGATTTTAGAAATAGAGTAAAGGATTGCCAGCCTGCAGCCCAGGATGCCGGAGAGGCTGTTAAACAAGAAGGACCCTAAGAGAGACATACATGGTCCCCTGGAGAAGGGGAAAGGGACAAGAACTCCTGGGAAAATTGGGAGCATGGGGAGGTGGGGAGAGAACTAGGAGAATGAGAAGGCGAGATGAGAATGGGTGAGGAGGACATGTTGGGGCAGGGCGGTTGAGTTGGGGGCAGAACAGATGAGAGCCAGATAAGAGATAATATAATAGAGGGAGACACTGTAAGTTTAAAGAGAAATCATGCACTAGTGAAATGTCTGGAGAACTACAAAGATGACACCAACTAACAATCTAAGTAACAGAGGAGAGGCTACCTTAAATGCCCTCTCCTGATAATGAGATTGATGAGATTCATATGCCATCGCATATGAATAGCCTTCATCCAGCACCTGGTGGAAGTATAAGCAGACACCAAAAGCTAAACCTTGAACTGAACTGAAATCCAGAGGCAGAGAAGGAGGACTGATGAGAAAAGTGATCCAGACCCCCTGAATGTGGGTGTCAGTGAGGTGACCTTGGAAATCTATGGGACCTCTTGTAGTGGATCAGTACTTAACACTATGATAGGAATGGACTTTTAGAGCCCACCACATATGGAGGGATACTCCCTGAGCCTAGGCACAAGGAGGTTGCCCTAGGCCCTCTCCCAAGGATTATCACAGACTTTGAAGACCTGCTATGGAAGGCCTCACCCTTCCTGGGGATCAGAAAGGGTAGGGGATGGATAGTGCATTAGCTGGCATGGGGCAGGGGAGGAGGAGTGGGAGAGGGACCTGGTAAATGATTTTCTTGCTAAGAAAAAAAGACAAAAAGACAAAAAACCAAGGAAAGGAGGGAAAGAAAGAAAGAAAGAAAGAAAGAAAGAAAGAAAGAAATCACCATCCTTAGCCATCAGGGAAATGCAAATCAAAACAATTTGAGATACCATCTTACTCCTGTCAGAAAGGCTAAAATCAAAAACACCAATGACAATATATGCTGGAGAGGAGGTGGAGAAAGTGGAACACTCCTCCATTGCTGGTGGGAGTACAAACTTGTGCAGCCACTTTGCAAATCAGTAAGACAGTTTCTCAGGAAACTGGGAATCAGTCTATCTCATGACCCAGCAATTCCACTCTTGGGCATATACACAAAAGATGCACATTCATACAACAAGGACAGCTGTTCAACTATGTTCATAGCAGCATTGTTTTTTATGTTGTAATAACCAGAACCTGGAAGCAACCTAGATGCCACTCAACTGAAGAATGGATGGAGAAAATGTGGTACATTGGCACAATGAAATACTACTCATCAGAAAAAAAAATGGAATCTTGGTATTTTTCAGGCAAATGGATGGAACTGGAAGAAACCATCCTGAGTGAGGTAATCCAGTCACGGAAAGACAAGCATTATATACAGATACAGATACAGATACAGATACAGATACAGATACAGATACAGATACAGATACAGATATAGATATATAGATATTAGACATAGCCCAAAGGACGACCAGCCTACAACCCACACCACCAGAGAAATTGTGAAACAAGGAGGATCCTATGAGAAATGCATGGTCCCCAAAAGAAGGGGAAAGTGGCAAGAACTCCTGAGCAAATTGTGAGTAGGGAGAGAAGGGATGGAGGTAGGAAAAATAGAAGGGAAGAGGAGGGGGGCGGAGAAAAATAAGGATCAGGAAAATTGAGTCAGGGGATCTATAGAGGAGAACACGAAAATAGATACATTAATAGAGGGATCCAGTATAGGTTTAAAGAGAGATCTGGCACTAGGGAAATGTTCAGAGATCCATAAAGATGACCCCAACTAAGCTATCAATAGAATTTGTTCTTTCCAGATCACGGAGAGAGCATGTAGTATACATACTTTGGGAAAATGTTGATAAACATTTGATTCCTTTTTCTGAAATTAGTACCCTTATTAAGGATACTTTGGACTTTAGGGTTAAAATGGAAGGGCACACTAGAGAACCTACCAGTATCATTTTCTGGATAGCAATTGCATATCATTTCTTATTTTCTTAATTTACTCTGTAACTCTTCCCATTATTTTTTTATTAGTTCAAATTAGGAACAAGCTTGCTTCACATGTCAACCCCTTCTCCCTCTCCCTCTCCTTCCCCTCCCACCCAACCTCCCACCTGCTCCCCCACCCCATCCACCCTCCACTCCGCAGGGAGGGTAGGGCCCTCAATGGGGTCTCCCCAAAGTCCACCACATCATCCTAGGCAGGGCCTAGGCCCTCCACCGTGTGTCCAGGCCAAGAGTGCATCCCTTCACATGGGATAGGCTCTCAAAGTCCCTTCTTACACCAGGGAAAAATAATGATCCACTACCAGGGGCCCCATAGAGGGCCGAGGCCTCCTCATTGTCATCCATGTTCAGGGGGCTGGGTCAGTCCCGTGCTGGCCTCCCAGACAGCAGTCTGGGATCCATGTGCTCCCCCTTGTTCAGGCCAGCTGTCTCTGTGGTTTTCACCAGCCTGGTTCAGACCCCTTTGATCTTCATTCCTCCCTCTCTGCAACTGGGTTCCCAAGTTCAGTTCAGTGTATATCTGTGGGTGTCTGCCTCTGCTTACATTTGCCAATGGATGAGGGCTCTAGGATGGCATATAAAGTAGTTATCGGTCTCATTCTAGGTGAAGGGCATTTAGGGTATCCTCTCCACCATTGCTTAGATTGTCAGTTCGTGTCATCCATGTAGATCTCTGGAAATCTCCCTAGTGCCAGATCTCTTCTTGGACCTATAATGGCTCCCTGTGTTATGGAATCTCTCATCCTGCTCTCCTCTATTCTTCCCCCGACTCAACATTACTGCTCTTCCATTTCCTCCTCTCCCCTCATCTTCTCCTCCTCTTATTCTGGCAGCTCCCTCTCCCCTAACCTCATGCTCCCAGTTAGGTCAGGAGATCCTGACCCTTCCCATTCTCCAGGGTCCATGCGTTTTTCTCTTAGAGTCCTTCTTGTTTCCTAGTTTCTTTGGTTAAGAGGATTGTAAGCTGGTAATCCTTTGCTCTTTGTCTAATATTCATATATGAGTGAGTACATACCATGTTTGACTTTTTGTGACTGGGTTACCTCACTTAGGATGGATTCTTCTAGTTCCATCCATTTGCCTGTGAATTTCAAGATTCCATTGCTTTTTTCCCCTGAGTAGTACTCCATTGTATAAATAAGTGTACCACATTTTCTCAATCTATTCTTCAGTTGAAGGGCATCTAGTTTTCTTCCAGTTTCTGGCTATTACAAACAATGCTGCTATGAAAATGGTTTAACATATGTCCTTGTTGTTTGAATGTGCATCATCTTCCCTGAATTTTTAGGTGTTTGTCACTTAAGTCAGACTAACTGTAGTGTAGATATTAGTAGGGTGTGATAGTTTATAATAAGTATTAATTTCACAGGATCTAGAATCTAGATTCTAGAGTTACACATAATGTTTCTGGACACACATTATCTAGATTTCATCAGCTTCTGGGAATGCATTTGTGGGGTTATTTTAAATAAGTGAGTTGAAATGCGAAGATCTGTCCTAAAGGTGGGTAGCATCATTCCCTGGGTTTTGGGTCATGGACTGCATGAAAAGGAGAAAGCAAGGCAAACCCAGCCTTTGCCTCTCTCTGTCTTCTAATTGTGATTGCAAGGTAATCGGAAATATCAAGATCCTGACACGATGACTCCCTGACACTATGAACTCAACCTCAAATTCCCAAGCAAACTGACCTCTTCTTTCAGAAATTCAGTTGGGACTTTCCTTGAGTAGTGCCTCAAGATAACCCAAGCATCAAAGTTAGTTAGAATTATTTTGCTGTTTCTGTTGCTGATGTTCTCTCTGTAGTGCATAATTTTTTTCTTTTACATCTCTTTAGGCAATATCTCATAACAAGGAAAGCCTTCAAAAATAAAGAACTGTAACAGGGAATTCTTGTTAAACTATCTAGGTGTAGGAGAGTCTGAAAATGTCTTGTACATAATAAAGTTGGAGTACTGATGGGGGATGTCCTTCTGTATATATGTTTCTCTTATTGGTTGATGAATAAAACACTGTTTGGCCAATAGCCAGTAGAGGCTGGAAGAGAGGTGAGACTAGGAAACAAGGAGAATTCTGGGAAAAATAGGCAGAGAGTCACCAGTTAGAGTTTCCATGTAGTTGAGGAAAGAATAACAGGTCCAGACCCTTCTCTGGTAAGCCAAGACCACATGGGAATACATAGATTAAGAGAAATGGGTTAATAATTAGACATGGCTAGCCAGAAAGAAGCCCTAGCAATCAGCCAATAATTTTATAATTAATATAGTGTCTCTGTGTATTCATTTGGGTTTGAAGCAGTGGGACCTAGCAGGACAAAAAAATTCAGCAACAGAGTACAAGAAGAATAAAAGATTGGATGAGATGCCTCAAATTTTCAAACATTAGGAAAAGAAAAGTCTATTTAAGGACTAAATGAGGGAGCCAAGAAGTATGGGAAAAATCTTCACAAGTATTTTGACAAATGCATTGTGGAGATTCCTTACAGCAATCAGTAACATAGTTTGGGAACTTCATCTGGTGAACAATTGTAATTTTTATGTCATGGGAAACAGGCCTCCTTTAATTTTTATGCATGTAGAGGATGATGTAAGGTGTAAATGTATTCTGACATTCATTTCCATGTATACTACTAGATTATTTATCTTCAGCAACAGTAATTAAAATCAAGAGCTCATAGAACTAAATGTGCAAGAATTTATTTAATGAAAATCCATAAACCACTCAATGAAATACTGAATCAGCCAAAACAGGATTATAACTGCAGATCTACTTGTCATCCTTGGTCATAGTTCTGAATCCGAAAATTTTAGGTAGCTGTCTGAAGAATACTTGTGATGACTCCTTGTAATTTTCAATGTTCAAGTTTATGTAAGTTGGAAATTTACATTTAAATGTTAGAGTGGATTTGGGAATGTAGGGAAAGAGTGAAAGAAAGGGAAATTATGCCACCCATTAAAAATAAGACAAAAGAAAAAGTTGCCATTGCCAGGGCAGTACCAAATTTCTGGATATCTGGTATGGAGGGTATGTGGAAAGATGGGGGGAAGACAATCCCATCATTGCGAATGATGGCTAAATAATTGTGCAAGACGGAAAGGAAGACTAAGACACCAGCGATGATGTTCAGAACCCCTGGGAATAAAAATGGATTGTAGGTGAATTTCTTCCGGAATCTCCCTGTGTACAATTTCCAAAGAGCAACAACAACAGAAATCGTCGAAACCATGCCAATAATGCTGGAGATCAGTAGTAGGTGTTGAGCAACACGAATATCCAAAGGAATGAAGGTGTCCTGGTAGGTATATTGGTAACACACTCCTAATATATCGGAATTCCTTTCCTCGTAGTACACACAGGTTCTCCACATTCCCACTAATACCATGCTGGGTTCGGATTCCATGGGTTCTTCAAAATACCACACTCGCCATTGAGGGAGGTTCATGGAAACGCTGCAAAGAATCCATGCTAGTGTGGCCGCAGCAAAGCCTCCTAGATGACAGCTGGCACGCCTGCTGAACATTACAACGGTGACATTGAACACCTGACAACTGCAAAGAAACACAGGACATCATGAGAATGGGATCTTCAGGCCTGGGAGATTGTCCCCTGTGGGGGCAGTACCACTAGAGAAGGGTTTTGTTGAGCAGGTGGGTCTTTGACTAAGAAATCTCCTGCAGGGAATGTGTTCTGATAAAATCCAGAAGTGCTGGCTCTGTGGAAACACATACTAGCAGGCTGATAATCCACATGCCATCTAATATTTTCTTCTTCCAGTGTTTACAGAGTTACAATGAAGTTTGGCCCAAATATTAGGCCATTCAGATTGTCATCACAGCCTGAAATTTTGTACTGAAAATAGGAAGCCACTTGAAGCACAACAGTTGATAATTTACGCAACATCCATGCCATGAAATTATATGCCCACCTTCAGGATAGAAGTGTAGTCTTATATTGAAGCTGTGGTATTTTGTCTCAGCACATTTAACTATTCATTTTTGTGTGACGCTGTATAACTCTGTATCACAAGCAAACCTACAACTACATCCTCAGTCTGTCCTTTGGCTAGAGGCAATGCTGCTGCTTCTTTTTTTCAATTGCTTATATTAGAGACAGCAGCCACAACATCGTGTAAATAATGTCAGGTTTTCAAAGTCCATCAATGCTACAGCCAGTGTGAGAAGACTGTCAACTATCATACTGACTGGTTTCTCATTGTATGGATGACCCATGCTTTCTCTGTTCAAGCATTGAGTTTCTATATCTGGATTAATACCAAGCATTACTGACAATGAATGGTACCATGTGCATTGCACATGAGCATATCATATATATATATATATATATATATATATATATATATATATATATTATGTATATATATATTCTCACTCCCTCTCCTCCCACCCTAAGGAACAGAAATGAGATTATATAATACAGTTTCTAGTATATATTTTAGAATTTACTAAATTGAAGTCAGTACTAAGTATAGAAAATATACTCTAGAAAGAAAGCAAATGAAGTTATAATAATTGAAACATAATCTAAAATTAACAATTCAAATACCAAAACTACAAAATGACAACAGCTAACAACATTTTTTCAATAATGAGTTTAAGTACCAGTGGTCTCTACTTCCCAATCAAAACACTCATGTTGAAAAAAGAAACAAGAGCTATTTTTGTGTGGTTTACAAGGAACTTATCTTGCTTTTCAGTTAAAGAAGTTTCCTGGTGGAGTCTTCAAGGAGTTTTACATGTTCATCAATATCATATGTAATTATTTTGAATTCTTTCAAAGATGGAAAGACCAACCATGCTCATGGATCAGTAGGATTAATATTATAAGAATAGCCATCCTACCAAAAGGAATCTACAGATTCAGTGCAATTCACATCAAGATCCCAACACAGTTTTTCACAGAAATTGATAAAGCAGTTGCTAACTTCAAATGGAAAAACAAAATAACCAGGATAGCTTAAATAATTCTAAATAGTAAAAGTATTGCTGAATATGTCACCATCCCAGATTTAAAGTTGTATTATAGAGGTACAGGGAAAAAAACAAAAAACACATGAAATTGGCATAAAACCAGACACATGGAGGTGATGGATGTATCTAAGAAAACAGCATCTTCCATATTCAACAGGGTAGATGTATACATGGACTCAGAGATTTGCGATGGATACTTTCTGGGGAAGGGAAATAAGGTTTATCCAATAAACCATCACTGGGTATATCAACCACATTTCAGAGATGAGCCCATACCCAATAGAAGCTTTCCAGTACAAAATGGACTACATTTTCAGAAACAGAGAAGGAAACAGACATGAGGTACTATCTTCAAAGACACATTCCATAGCAACTACTTCCTGCCCATCATCCCATTTCCTTCAGTGTCCAGATTCTCTCAAGTTAGCATTAGCATTTGGGAATGATTGATTCAACACAAGAGCCTTTTACAGATACAGGCCACATTGAATAACAGGACCACGGTACATTAAGGACTAACTGTACAGGACATAGATTATGATTCCTACTTACATACTTGAGGAAGAGAGAAATCTGAAAGTGGCTGGTAAATGAATCAGGCTTGTGCACATTACACTAAAATACCAGTCACAAAAGATCAACCACCATGTAATTCCACTAAAATGGGCCATCACCTCCACATTCAGATAACATAGTGGCTGTTGCTAGCAGCTAAGGAAATGAGAAATGGTAGATGATATTCAATCAGGACACCATTTCAATTGAAGAATATGAACAATCTTGATATTTGCATATCACTGTGAATGTACATATAGCCATGAACCTACTATTACAAAGTCAGTCATAAATTCAAATATACATACTTAGAAACATTAATTATATATAAACAGAAATGAATGGAGCCTATACTTACCAGTGACACTATATCCAAATGAATTGTTGGCCAGTTAAATGTAGAAAGTATAGCCAGCTAGAAGTAGACTGGCAGAGCTAAGGAAAACAGCGCAGCTCCCCTCAGGTGTCCTTTGAGGCTGGTTGCTGACTTCATAATCAGCTGGGTGGTGACTGGCCTGCTTCAGAGTTCTGACTCTTTATTGCATCATCAAATCTCATCTCCCACTGGGATCATCTCCCAAGTTTCAGTCATTAGTATATAAGTGTGATGAGAGTTTTACTAACCACAGATTTTCAATTCCTTTTGTCATGTTTTCTTAGACAACATTTGAGAAGTAGGGTACATTTGTGAGTGTGCTTCCCTGCTCATAGACAAGACCTACCTGACTGGTTAATCCCTATCCATTACTTCTTTCTTTCTCTTTGAGGCCCAGTTTCTAACACTGTCATTGGAGATGGTGACATTTTAGAAAAGTCATTGCCATATATAGATCCAGGTGCTAGAAGAATTGGCTCCAACATACCAGGAAAGATGCTGGTTAACTCACCAGAAATTTTCACAAAGATCTAGGGAAATGGAGCAGCCAATGAGATTATGGCTGGGATGAAAGGGGAAATGTCATAAATCACAAGCTGAAAAATCATGCAGTATACCACTGTAGATCACGGTAACAGTGTTATGCAGCTAGTACACTTTATGTTGAAATTTATTGAAGAAAATATTTCAATGTTGCTTAGTAAATAGCTCATTTCAAAACTTTATCAGTAGCTCAATCTTGATTCTATAATAATATAAAAAGAAAAGGAAAAGATGGGGGCAGAACATAATTTAAGGGAAAAGGGAATGATAAGAAGAGTAGCAATAGGACATTTTTCTTATTTTTACTTTTATTTTTGAGATGCCTTCTACATCTAGGTCATAGTCACCCTAAACTTACAGACATCTTATCTCTGACTTCAGGGCACTTGTGTTTCAGGCATGTGCCACCATGCTTTTTCCAAGCCCTTGTATTACTTTTCTATTTCTGTAACAAAATACCTTGACCAAGGCGACTTGTAGAAGGGAGGGATAATTCAGGCTTATGTTTCCAGATGGACAGTCCATAATGGCATGGAAACATGACAGCAGGTAAGCAGGTCAGGAAACTAAGACCTCACATCTCCATTTCAGAAAGACCAAACTAGGACTGGACAAGTCTATGAACTCTTATAGCCCTCACACAGTAGATGAGCTACTTCCTCAAACAAGGCTCTACCTCCTAATGGTTCCACAATCTCCCCAAAGAGGACCACCATTCATGGACCAAGTGTTCACATCCATGAGCCTATGTGGGACTCTCCTCATTTAAACCACAAAGTTACCTGTGGGAAACTAATATAGTGACTTTGTCTAGCTAACATTATTTTTTAATGTTCTATAATATGATGACTTATCTTTCTGTCCTGACTACTGGATAACCATCACAATAGAAAAACAACCCAGATACATTCACTACCTTTCATTATATAAAACACTGTGTACAATATCAGATAGTCACAGGGCAGCATGGATCACATTCCTTGCAAGAAGAATAATTGTACTCAAAGTTTACAGGCATTGTCTACAGAAGTCCTGGGTTCTAATCTCATTAACACATTCAATCATGTCACAATTGCTTGTCTTCAATTATAAGGAAGGACATAACAGATTAGGAATTTTAAGTCGTTTTCTCAGGCCTTGCAACCATGAAATTAAAGGTGCTTTGTACAAATATAGATGCTCAGTGGTTCAAATTCTTTTGCCCTTGGCCATGGGACTTCCTTCAGGTGACAGAAGGCCACAGGCCACAAGCTTTATGCAAACTATGGCAAGCTCCTTTATAACTTAATTCTGGTGCACCTGGTAATCATATGTCCAGATCACATGGCTGGGCCATGAATAAAATGAGGGACATGTGGCCCAGAACAGACTGGACTATTTATTTGAAATAAAAATTTGAATTATGACATAAAATTATGATGCAAGTAATATTTTCCATGTATACTGCTGAGATTTTCTAGCAGTGATGCATAAAGTTTGAGTGACAGATAACTAATCCAACCTGTGTCCCTCACCATTGTCTGGCTGTAAGTTATTTAAAATCTGTTACCTGGCAATTGTAGTTCCTTCTCTTTCCCATCCCATTTCCCTTCTTGTTTAGCAATGGATCCCAAGGTGTCCTTGAAGCTTCGGCAATGATTGTTTCTCATCACCCCAGGACTTGCAAAGAAGATTTGGGTTTCACTCCCATGTTTCTGATACTGGTCTTGGGGTGGGGAGCTGTTGCTAGTGTTTGAACTTAGGGCCCCATGCTCACATCCTCTTCCCCTGACCTAGATATACAACACTGGTACTTTGATTCTTTTTACAAAGCTATAATATAGGAAATAAAGACAGCCTCCATTCATTTGAAGAGACACCATTTATTTTGTTATACTCAAGTAGGGGGAATCTGTTGATAACCTTTGAGCATGAATTCTGTGCACATTTGCCTTGGTGGAGTGCAGGGTAAACCCACAGAAGCTGATCTAAAACCAGTAATATATACAGTGTATATACAGAGTTCCACAGCAGTGTCCACTCCTATGCATGCAAGGGACAACCATTAGAACCAGGTTTTATCTTATTCTAT